TAATATTAACTGATTAAGTAAGAGGTTAACTTTCCAATCTTTGATTCTCCCATATCACCCTGTGCATATCTCAGTTTGTTGGTTATATTCATTTCTTGATTGTCCATTCTATGGTGAGGTTACTCACTAGAGGTGAACTTGAGAGTAGGAGATGTGTCTTATTCTTTTTTTTATCACTCATGCTTTTACAGTGCCTGCCACAGATAGGTTCTCAGTACATATTCATTGAATGAATGAATAAATGGGAGTGAATGAATTAGTGAACAAAAAGGTACTCTGTTCACTTTATGAAACCTACAGAAACCTTGGTATTAAAACAGAACTAAAAAGAAAGCTATAGGCCTAGATCACTTAGGAAAATGTATGCAGAATCCTAAATGAAATATTAGCAAACCAAATTCAACAGTACGTTAAAAAAAAATCGTCCGGTGTGACCAAAGAGTGTTTTTCCTGAAACTGCAAGAATAGTTATCTATTAAGAAAGCTATTGCTGGTGGTGTGGAAATGTAAAGTGTTACAGCCATTTTGGAAAGCAATCTAGCAATATCTATTAAAGTTAAAAATATATATGTCTTTTGAGCCAGCTATTCCACTCCTGGGAATCCATCCCACAGAAATAAAAGCAGAAGTGTGTGAGAACACACATACAAAAATGTTTATTGCTGCATGACTCAGAGTGGCAAAACAGCGGAAACAAAGTTAAAGCCCATCAGAGGGGAAGAGTTAAGTATATGATGGTAGACCCACACTGTAGGATATTATGCAATCTTTTTTTCTCTCATTTTAAATTATAAAGGTGTAAGGTACAATTCAGGGTTAGGTATACAAACGTTGATTCTGCAGGTACCCTTGTTGATGAGGTATACCCCTCACTCCCCTAGCAGTTTCCCTCAACTGCCAGCCCCACCCTCCCTCCCCTGACAGTTTCACACTACTACCAATCCCTTTCTTAAAGTATTATAATTGTTCAAGGTCCGCTTATGAGTGAGAACATACGGTACTCTGTTCTTTGTTTCTGTGATAGATCACTGGGTATGATCGACTCTAGATCCATCCAAGTTGCTGCAAAGTCCATATGTTTGTCTTTCTTTATGACTGCATAATATTCCATTGTGTATATGTACCACATTTTAAAAATCCA